GTAAAGGTCTGAACTGGCAAAGGAGGATAAACATCAGATGCACTCAAAAGAAAAAGAACTATTATATATATGCAACTTTATGTTTTATAAACCTAATGATAACCACACACAAAAATCTCCAAACCTCCTTTAAAAAAGAGGACATAGAGGAAAGAAGTATGAAACACCACCAAGCAAAAAGAACAGACAGAAGTAAAAGGAAAAGAACCAATGGAGGCACAGAGCTACCAGAAAACAAAAGATAAAATGGCTATAGGTAATCCCCATACATCAAGAATTACCCAAAATGTAAATGGTCTGAGTTCACCAATTAAAGAGGCACAGAGTAGCAGAATGGAGCAAAAAACAAAACCCAACCATACACTGCCTACAAGAGACACATCTAAGCTGCAAAGACAAAGGTAGATTCACAGTGAAAGGGTAGAAAATGATTCTCCAAGCAAACAACATCCACCAAAGAGCTGGTGTAGCCATACTTATACTTGACAAAATAGATTTCACAACAACAAAGACAGCAAGACACAAAGATGGACATTTTATAATTATACAGGGGAGACTACATCAAGAACACATAACACTTTTTAATATATACGCACCCAACCAGGGAGCGCCGAAAGACATAAAGCAACTACTCACGGAAATAAAGGGAGATCAAAACAATCATAGTTAGGGACCTTACAGCTCCTCTGAAAAGCTTAGAACAATCAACCAAACAGAAAATCAGTAAAAAACTACCAGCCTTAAATGAAACACTAGACCACATAGACATAATTGACATTTAGAGAGCCTTTTATCCCAGAATATCAGATTATACATTCTTCTCTAGGGCATATGGAACATTCTCAAGGACAGACGATTTGTTGGGTCACAGAACTAGCATCAACAAATTCAAGAAGATTAAAATTATACTAAGCATATTCTCTGACCACAATGCCTTGAAATTAGAAATCAACAGCAAAACGGAAGTAAAGAAAACCACAAATACATAGAGATTAAACAACATACTAGTAAAAATGACAGTGTCAAAGAAGAAATAAAAGATGAGATCAAAAGATATATAGGGACAAATGAGAATGGCAATACGACACATCAAAACTTCTGGGATGCAGCAAAAGCAGTAATAAGAGGGAAATTTATACATCACAGGCATATCCCAAGAAACAAGAGAAATCCCAAGTAAACAACCTAACATCACATTTTAAAGAACTAGAAAAAGAACAAAAGCATCCCAAAGTCAGAAGAAAGGAAATCATAAAAATTAGAGAATTGAATGAAATAAAAAAGATTATAAAAAATAAATTAAACAAAGAGTTGGTTCTCTGAAAAGGTTAATAACATTGACAAACCCCTAGCTAGACACACTAAGGAAAAAAGGGAAACGACACATATAAATAAAATCAGAAATGAGAGAAGTCACCATAGACATCACAGATATACAAAGGATCATACTAGAATATTATGAAAGACTATATGCCACCAAATTCAATAACTTAGAAGAAATGGATAAGTTCCCAGAAATATGTAACCTTCTTAGACTAAATCATGAAGAATTGGAAAATCTAAATGGACAAATCAGCAGTGAAGAAATTGAAACCACCATCAAAAACCTCCCAAAAAATACAAGTCCAGGACCAGATGGCTTCATCAGTGAATGCTACCAAACATTCAAAGGAGATTTAAAACCTATCCTTCTCAAACTCTTCCAAAAACTTGAAGAAGTTGCAATACTTCCTAACACATTTTATGAGGCCAATATAACCCTGATACCAAAACCTGGCAAGGATAACACAGAAAAAGAAAACTATAGACCAGTACAGTATCTCTGATGCATACAGATGCAAAAATCTTAAAGAAAATACTAGCAAATCTAATACAGCAGTACATCAAAAAATAATACATCATGATCAAGTGGAGTTCATTCCAGGGCACAAGGATGGTTCAACATACATAAATCAATCAATGTAATACACCACAGTAACACAAGAGAGGATAAAAATCACATGATCTTATAAATAGATGCAGAAAAAGCATTTGATAAGATATAACATCCATTTATGATTAAAACACTCAATAGGAATAGAAGGAAGGTATCTTAACATAATAAAGGTCTTATATGATAAACCCTCAGCTAATATCATACTCAATGGTGAAAAACTAAAGCTTTCCCTCTAAGATCAGGAACAAAACAAGGATGTCCACTCTCACCCCTCTTATTCAACATAGTTCTGGAAGTCCTAGCCAGAGCAATTAGGGAAGAGAAAGAAACAAAAGATATCCAAATAGGGAAGGAAGAAGTAAAACTGTCACTTTTTGCGGATGACATGATTCTGTATATAGAAAACCCTGAAGACTCCACCAAAAAACTATTAGAAACAATAAAGAAATACAGTAAAGTTGCAGGATACAAAATCAATGTACAAAAGTCCATTGCCTTTCTGTATACTAGCAACAAAACTTCAGAAAAAGAAATGGAAAAAGAAATTCCTTTTGCAATTGCAATCAAAAGAATAAAATACCTAGGAATAAGCTTAACAAAGAACATGAAAGACTTACATACTGAAAACTACAAAGCATTATTAAGAGACTGAAAAAGACACAACAAAATGGAGAGAATATCCCATGTTCATGGATTGCAAGAACCAACATAGTTAAAATGGCCATATTACCCAAAGCACTATATAGATTTAATGCAATCCCCATCAAAATACCAGTTTTTTTT